GCGCCTCGTTGTACGGCGTGTACGGCAGGCGGAACACGGGTCGCACGAGGCCGAGCTGGCAGAGCGCGGTGCTGAGCCCGATGGGGTTGGGCTCGAGGAAGAGCCACTTGGTCAGCGGCGCGAGCTTCTTGTTCAGCTCGGGATGCGGGCCCGTCGTCAACATCTCGTGCACCAGCCCTGCGAGGCGGAAGAGGGGGGGAAGAGGGGGGGAAGCAGGGGGAAAAGGCGTGGGGATGAAGTACAGTTGGCGCGAGCTTCTTGTTCAGCTCGGGGTGCGGACCCGTCGTCAGCATCTCGTGCACCAGCCCTGCCGGGGGAGAGCGGGGGAAGAGGCGGGAGGGGCGGGGGGGGGGGGGGGGGGGGGGGGGAGTGGCGGGCAGCGTGAGGCGTTGCAGGAGAAATAAGGTCCAGGTGGCGCGAGCGGAAAGGGGGACGAAGAAGGGGGGCGCGGAATGCCCGGAGAGAAGGGACGCGGGCGGTAGGGACACGATGGCTGAGCAGGAGATGACTTTTGACTGTTGCGTTTTGACTTCGAAGCTCTTCAATAGCGGGACGGCACGTACCGGGGACGAGGTTGCTGAGCACGGAGATGACGCCATTCGCGCCGTGCTTCCACTTGGCATCATGGCATTGGTCGTCGTTGCCGCTCCACACGACAATGCCCTTGCTGGTGTGCGTGGACACGCGCTCGTTCCCCACGCACTCCTTCACGCCCGCGAAGTTCTCGTGCTGCGCCAGCTCGTCGATAACCTCAGGGGTCAGGTCGGTGCCTGTGCGCCCGGGCACGTTGTAGATGATCGCCGGGCCCATCGGCAGCACCGCCCTGCGCTCGCGCAACGAAGGCGGGCGGGAAGGCGGGAGAGAGGAGAGAGGAGAGTTAGAGGGAGGTTCGAGGGGGGTTGGTAGGCGAGAGACTGCGGTTTGTAGGAAGCAACAAAGGGTGTGCCTCGTTCAGGCGGCGCATCGGTTCTTTAGCACGCTAGCTACGGCGCAGCAGGCGCTGCACGAGTCGCACTCACTTGTAGTGTTGAATGATCCCGTCGTTGCTGGTCTTGCCGTAGTACGGATTAATCTGCAGCGCCGCGTGCATGCCGACCGCGAAGCCCTGCTCCGTCGCGTGCATCGCCTCGCCCGTGCTGTTACTGCCGGTATTCCCAATAACCTTGATCTGATCGCCGAAGCAGTACACTGTATGCGCGATAAGCATCACGTGCTCGTCCCAGCTCATCAGGTGCCCCTCGCCCGTCGTGCCGCCCACGATAATGGCCTCCGTGCCGTTCTCGATCTGGTGGTGGACCAGGTAGTCGTACGCGTCGATGTCGAACCGCCCGTCCGGGAGATACGGCGTCTTGATTGCCGTCACTAGCGAGAGTGCCTTGATCTGCTCGATGTGCGGCCTGCGGTGCCCGGGGGAGTGAATCCCGGGGAAGGGGGAGCGGAGCGGGGCGGGGGAACGAGAAGTTGAGGGTGCGAGTGGTTGCGCGTCACCGATGGCGGCAGGCGGAATCGAAGAGCGAAAGGAGCAACGTGGCCACTTCACGAAGCCGCGCAAGCACGAAATGAGGGAAGCACGAGGGAAGAGACGGGGACAAGGAGTCGGAAGCAGAATGAAATGGAATGCAACGGGAGGAACGGGTGGCACTAGCAGAGAAGGAGGAACGTACAGATTCTTTTCCTCGTGGCTCTTCATTGGGACCGGTGGGGCCTCCAACATCGCGGCGCGAGCTGCGCCGGCTCTTTGGCGCTTCGGTGCGGCTTTCACGGTGGTTGCGCCTTTCAGCAAATGCGTGGGGTCTCCTCGGAGCGTGGTGCACGCAGGGACGAGGCGCAGAGAGGCAGATGCAGTGGCCATTATGGCTATGAGTGATGCTCTGAAAGCAGTACTTGGTTGGAAGGAGAGAATCGCTCAGAGCAAGCGAAGAGAAGTCTGATTATGGAGTGAGATGAATTAGTGAGCTCGGTATTTTATCCAATTCGTGATGGAAGCTGGGATGATGAAGAATGAGTCGCTGGGAGGGGAAAGGGGAGGGTGGCGGCGAGGGTGCGTAGGGGGAGTGGGGAGAGAGGAGAGGGAGGGGAGGAGAAGAACTGAAGTCGCACTCGAAAATGGGGAAGCTTGGGGAGGAGGGAAGTCGACAGAAAATGAATGAAGCGGCTCGTCCTGCACAGTCGGATGCCACGTGGAAATTGATGATTTGAAGCTGTTCCCACATGGCTTCGTGTGTGATCCTTCAGCAGTGCACGGCACTTGCCTCGCTGACCGACGACGACTGCCCATACAGAAGTATTACTACCTCCTGCACAAGTCGTTTACAGCTTTTAAATTTTGGAGACCTTTTTCTAAAACAATTGGCATCCCACAAAAAAGGTGAGCAGTTTTAAGGACCACACTTTCTAAATGAGACACTTTAAGAAACAAAAGCTCTTGCCTTGTTGGCCGTCTCCAATCAGAAGCCGTCAACTGGCAGCAGAGCTGTGATGCTCCGCGTGCGAGAAAAATGGCCAGCTCGACGATCTCCAGGAAAGCTGCGCCCTCTAGCGAATTGTTTCACGAGTTTGTGGATGACTCGGTTGAAAGCGAACTAATGGGAATGGCTCAGAAAGTATCCAACAACGGCGCAGCCGAGCAGCTTTGTCACACGTGGGGAGAGCCAGCACTTGTTCCTTCGGCTGTCAGAGGGGCGTGAACGAGTGACGGTCTGCTTTGGCTCAACCCCGACTGACAGATGCATATATTCGCGATTAAAGCAGTTGCTGGGCATCGAGCTGTACATGACATATGTACTTTGATACCTAAATGTGATGAGAAACGGCTGCCTTTGGTAAGCTAAGATGTTCTACGCCTGAATAGTTACTCTCATTATGTGGAAAATATTAAGACAAAATTATCCTCCTAATTGGGTTTCAATAAATAAAATTCAAAGGATTTAGGCTCCATGCTAGCTCTCTTTTTATAGTGAGTTGCTTCAATAACAGTCAACAATTTAGATTTTGAACTTACCAGCTCATACAGAGGTTTGTCAGGCTCCCAAGCCAACCCTCAAAACCTCCCGCCGCCGTTGGGCCGCCTTTTCGTAATCTACCAGTAACAGCTCCACGAAATGAGAACCTTCGGTTTAGTTACGTCGAGTTCCTGGTGAGACTGTGGTGGCGAGTGCTTCGCGCACTTCAGTCTGTTGGGTGTCTGTCCCCTGACGTGCGGCACTTGTTCAGCTGACCAAACCTTACGTGGCAACTCCCAAGGGGCTCCTTCACCTTTTCCCTGCCCAGTTTCTGAACTGATTTTTCCAGGAATCACTGGGGCTTGCTGCTGACTCGCCTTTGCGTTGCCTTGTTCGTGGTCAACCCAGCTGTTCAGTACATCTCACTTCGCTTGATTGCACCAGTAGGGCAGGCGTCTTGCTGGGGCTTGCTCCCTGTCTCCTCCACACCACGAGCTGACAAGGCCAGCCTGGACGTATACAACAAGCGAGGTGTATTTGGTAAGAGAAATGCGAGAATCTGAAGGTGGTCGTAGCTGATACCAGCAACGAGCTGGTTTACGTTCCCACTCCGTATCCTGGACTAAGTAGCAAGCTTAATTAAGTTACCCACTCTTCCACTCCAAAACTATAGTTGTTTTCCACCCAAGAGTCGTCCTGATTGCTGACGGTTACAACACAACGACTCTTCCACTGGACTTGACAAAAGAACCCAGTGGAAAGTAGCCCCAACTGAAGTCTCAAGTGACATTACCGAAAGGCCGCTTCTCCTACCCGCCCCATCAGGCAAAACGCGTTCTCCACTTTGCTGTACGCCGTGCCAATCTGGATGACCCACCCGCCACCACCACTCGTCCTCCCTGCCGCAATCACTTCTAGGGTTTCGCCGCAATGATACAGAGCAGTTCTTCTCACAACAATCACTGCCGAATTACCTAACTCACATCTGCTAGCCGCTTGTCACGAGCTTTCTCCCACCGACTTTATAGCGAGAGTTGTCGTAATTGTTTTAAGAGTGTTTGAAGGAACGCGACGTCGAGAGCTATGGTATAGCAATCTGCTCTTTCATGGCGACAGAGGCGGATCGACTCCGTCTTGAACTGCGCGCGTCGCGGGTCGAGTGCGCGGAGCTCCGGAGCCGATTAGAGGTAGTTTATCTCTCTCCGTTTCCGCTTGATCCGTTTCGTTAGAATTCGCAATAGTGACAATTCGTCGTGTTGTCTCGCTTGCCATGCCAAGCGCTTATCTCGCTTCATTCCCGCTTCTGCCGGCGCCGTTCGCTGTGTACCCTTAGCATTCCCGGCTTCACCCGTACCTCTCTTTGTGTTTTCCCATCTTTTTCCCTGGCTCGCTTTCTTCGCTCGCAAAAGGCGGGCCCCGCGGGGATAGAGCACGCGCGGTATGGCGTGGGAGGGGAGCGGGAGGCGGAGCTGGCGCAGCGCGTGGAGGAGCTCACGCGGGAGGTGGAGGCGGAGCGACAAGAGGCGGAGCGCGCGAGGCGGTTCCACGAAGATGAGCTGACGATGCTGTTGGCGTCGAATAAAGACAAAGAAGCCGTCTGGTCCAGAAAAGTACAGCCTCCTTTCTTTCCCATCCCCCCGCCCCCCTCCACCACGCCCCCCCCGCCCCTCTCTTCCTCCCTCCCTTTTCCCTTGCTTCCCTCCATCCCGCATCCTCCCCTTTTTTTACTTTCTTTTCAACGACCCCCTTCCTCTCCTCCCTCGTTCTCTTTTCTCGGCATTCTCATTCATTGCCCCACGCTCATCTTCTCCATCCCTCTGCTTGTCCCACCCTACCCTCCCGGCGTGTGCGGCGCTCGCGGCGGCGGCGGATCAGGAGATGGAGTTGGAGCAGGAGTTGCGCGAGTTGAGAGAGCAGCTGAGCGACGCGCGGCAGGGCCACGCGCTCGGGGGGCAGCTGCAGGCGCTCGAGGACCGCCTGGCGGACGCGCGCGAGGGTGAGGGCGCGGGGGAGGGTTGGGGGAGAGGGTGAAGTGAGGGGGGAGGGGAGTGGGGACCGATGGGTGTTATTGATGAAATGCGCGGCCATTTGCTCGGGGGGCAGTTGCGGGCGCTCGAGGACCGCCTGGCGGACGCGCGCGAGGGTGAGGCGTGGGGAGGGGGGAGGAGTGTGTGTTGGGGGGGGGGGGGGGAAGGGGGGAGGGTCGGGGGAGTGTAAGGGGTGCGGGAGAGGGTGAGGGACAGTGGGGGAGAGGAGGAGGTGGAGAACGGGGGAGGAGGAGAGGGGACCAGCAGGCCGCATATCTCAATGGCAGCTAATTCTTCCCTCCTTTATGCCTCTCATTCTCACTCTCTCTCCCTCGCGCCTTCACCCTCACACCCCCCCGATCACCTGTGCGGCAAGCGCTTCGTTCTGCTCCCTACCGCCGCTCTTCCCCGTACCCCGCTCCGCCCATCTGCACACCGCCGCCTGGGGCCCCGGGGACCGCACCTCGCGCTCCCCTCCCCGCGCCCCCTCCCGTGCCCTCTCTCCCCCGTTCCGCGAACCATCTCGTTCGCTGTCCCCCTCTCCCTCCCCCCATCCCCCGCAGCGCTCTCCCTGGCGGAAGCCTTCGCGGAGGAGCAGCGCGTGGTGCGCGAGGAGGCGGATGCGCGCGTGCGCGCGCAGGAGGCGGAGGTGGAGCTACTGCAGGCGCGCATCGAGGACATGGCGGAGCAGGCGGAGGAGGACGAGGAGGAAATGGCGGCGCTCGAAGAGGACCTCGCGCGCGCCATCAAGCGCGTCGAGGAGCTCGGGCTGCGCTCCGCCGCTATGACCATTGAGGTGCGGAAGATATGGGGGTGCGCTGATGGGGGGTTGCGCGGATGGGGGGGGGGGACAGCTGGTAGGGTGCGCGGATGGGGGTGTGCGGGGGGCGGCAGTTTCGATGGGAAGCGTGGGGGGTTCGAGCATACATGGCGCCATCAAGCGCGTCGAGGAGCTCGGGCTGCGCTCCGCCGCCATGACCATCGAGGTGCGCGGGTGGGGGGATGCGCGTATGAGGAGGCTGCGCGGATGGGGGTTGCGTGGTTGGGGGGTGCGCGGATGGGGCTTGCGTGGTTTGGGGGTGCGTGGATGGGGGGATGCGGAACTCTCCTTCTGTGGTGCGCTTATCACAACCGCACCCATTCCCCCCACCCCCCTCCTCTCCGCATGTCCTCTCACCTCCTCCCCCGCAACCCCCCTCGCGCGTTCCCCCAACAACAGATGGAGCAGTTGCAGGAGGAGTTGCGGCGGGAGCGCGAGCTGCTGCGCAGCACGGAGACGGTGGCGGAGGCGGAGTGGCTGCGCCGCGTGGCGGCGGAGCGTGCGAACGCGGCGTTGCAGCGCGACGTGGAGCGCGCGCAGCTGGACGCGGACGAGCTCTGGAGCGCGCTCGAGGCGTTCCGCGAGGAGGGCGCGGGGGTTGCGGAGCAGCTGCGCGTGCAGATGGAGGCGGCGGTGCGCGAGGCGGCGGAGCGCGAGCGCGCGCACCGCGCGGCCATGGCCCGCGTTGACGAGGAGGTGGAGCGGCTGGCGGAAGAGGCGGAGGCGGCGGCGGAGCGCGAGGAGCTGGCGGCGCAGCTGATCGACCGCCTTAAAGACCACAACGCGCTGCTCGCGCGCCAGCTCGCGGCCATGGCGAAGCGCGCGGGCGGGGCCGCGCGTGCGGTGGGGGAGAGCGGGTCCGAGGCGGAGGAGGATAACTTCGCGTTTGAGGCGAGCGGGAAGGCGGCGCGCGGGGGGCAGGGCGGGGAGGGGAGCGCGGACGGGGAGAGCGAGGGGGAGAGTGTGGGGGAGAGCGCGGACGCGGAGAGTGTGAGTCAGTCGTATGAGGAGGGGGAGGCGTCTCCTCTTCTCCAGGCGCAGGCGCGCAGGCAGGGCGCAGGACTGAATAATTTTGAAACAGGCAGCATGGCGGGCAGCAGTGTAACGGGCAGCAGCGTCCTGGGCAGCACTATAGGCGGGCAGCGGACAGGGTGGGTGGGTCCGGGGGAAGGCGCGGGGAGAATGGGCGCAGATAACCGAGCAGTAGGGGGGAACGGGCGCATGGGTGGCGCGTATGGGATGGCGGGGGAAGGGGAGAGCCCTAGCGGACTAGCAGGCACGTCCCCCACGCTCACGTTCACTCCCCCCCCGCAGCACTCCCCCATGCACCACCAGTACCCGTACCAGCAGCAGCCTTCGCGCATGGCAGGGGGAGGGGGGCAGTATGAGCAGGGCGCTGAGGACGGGGAAGGCGCGGAAGGCCTAGAGGAAGGGGAAGAAGAGGAGGAGGAAGAGGAAGGGTTGGCAACAGACTCGGAGTTTTCCTTCTCAGTGCCGGTCCCTCGCAGCGGAGCGTGGCGGGCGGCAAAGGAAATCGCATCTTTGTATTACACAGCAGGAGGTGCAGGGGACGAGGATCTGGAGCGAGAAGAGGAGGAGGCAGAGTTTGCTCTGCTCCAGGAGGAGAACGAACGGCTGGCAGAAGAGGTAGCGCGGTTGCAAGAGCAGGTTGGAAAGTGGAAGAAACTCGTGGGGAATTACGAGAAGATGAGGAGGAGGATCATGCAGTTGAGAGTTTGTCTGGAGTTGACGAGAAAGGTGGTGGAGGTGAAGGATAGAGCCATGGAGATGGCGATGGATAGGGCTAGAAGGGCTGAGACGAGGTTGAGAGAGATGGAGGCTCAGTTGGTGGAGCAGCGCCAGGCTGCTGGTGCTGCTGCTGCTGCTGCTGCGGCAGCTGCTACTGCGGCTGTTACAGCTGGTGCTGGTGCTGCTGCTGGTGCTGATGGGAGTAATTCTGGTGATGGGGGGAAGGGAGGCGCTACTGAGACTAGTTCCACTGGTGCCGCAGGTGCCAGTGCCAGTCAAGCGGGTGTGGGCGGTGTGGGGGGAGGCGAGGGGGAGGGGCAGAGTGATGAGGAGGAGTTGAAGGAGGAAGGGGACGAGATTGCAGAGATGGAAGCCGGCGTGGGGGCAGGCAAGGGGAGGAGGCAACAAGGGAACGAGAAGCGGAGAGGGAGAGGGGAGAGAGGCGAGTCGTGTGCATCCTCAACCACAGATCGCTCCGACAGCCATCTGCTTCTCTCCGGCGCCACTCCAGTGCCTGGCAGCGGAGCCCTGCAGGCGCGAGCAGCCGTAGGGCTAAAAGAACTCCAGGCGAGCCGGGACGCGCTGCGAATCGCCATGCGGGGGGTGAGAGAGCGAGCCGCTCTTGCTGCAGAGGCGCAGCAGAGAGCAGCGGGGGGTCAGGGGCGGAGAGGGAAGGCGGGGAGGAAGGTGGAGGCGGGAGCGGTGGGGGAGATGCTGGCAGAGGTAGAGGAGGAGGTGGTTGAGGGGCAGAGTCTGGTGGAGCGGGCTGAGAGGATTGTGGCGAGAATGGCTGCGTTGGAGAGTAAAGGGGCGGGTGTGGGGAAGAAGATGGAGTGGAAGAGGAAGAGACTGGCTGACCTGGAGGCGAGGCTGGGTCTGGGTCCAAGGAGAGGTGCGGGAGGGGGTCTGTCTTGCCTGCTGCCGTTCCACCGGGGCAGCTGATGCACACGTTTCTGCTGCTGCTGCCGCCTCTCCTCGCTGCTGCTGCTGCTGCTAAGTTTTCTAACACTAACCTAAGTCTCTTTCCATGCAACTAACCCCCTCCTCTGGCAGTCTGCACTTGGGTGACTATCGTGCCCATGGTGCTCCGTGCAACTAACTAATTTGAGCTGTGCTCGCATGGGTTGATCCTATGGTGCTTTTGTGCAAAGAGGTGGCGCTAATAAAGTCATGCCAATGGTCCCAGCTGTCGTTGCCAACGGCGCAGGAACCGGGGCAAAGCTCCGTGCATGTATTTATTCTCCTTTTCACCCACTTTTTGTCCATGGAATGGAGGGATCAGTGGGCTGTATTTATTACACCTTTTTTTGGCATGGCCTGATATGATTCTCTGCATAAGGATTCCTTATGCGGTCCTACGGTAAATCTGGCTCTTCGAAATCCTATAACTAGAAAGCAAGATCTAGTCTCACGTGCTCAAGCACGAACAAAGCTACCAGGTGTAGTTGGACCACCCCTACCCGAGTCGTCCCATAGTGGGTAATTCCCGAAGCTAGCTGATTGCTTGCTCCCGTCGAGGTCACACAGCCGGGGAGAGCATCCCAGTCCACGCTCTACCTCTCATCAGATTCTCGAGATACCGCGCTCATGGCTGCCACTAGACGTTGCGCGCGCCTCCTCGCGTCGCTCCTCCCCGCGCCGTCCCACGCGGCATGCCTGCCGCACCGTGCCGCAAATCTAGCTTCCGCCAGGCCTACATGTTTAACGGCCGTCGCGTCACTGTCGGAGAGAGCAACGGTAGAGTCGCCGCCGTGCGCGCCGGCGCTTCTCGGCGCCCCCATCGCACGCGCTTCCCGCCATATTGCGCTCGCCCCTTCCGGCTTGACACCCGCAGCGTCGCGGTTCCGCGTTGAGTCTTTCGCAGTCGCGGATCTGCTCTGCGCAATCCAAGCGCCTGCGCCCGCCTTCTCTTCCGCCAGTCAGCGCATCGACTCCGCTCCGCCGCAGCATCTTTCCGCCGACGCCGCTAGCGCCACCCCGGCGGAAGGATCGGACGGCGCGCGCAGCGCTCCGCTGGCGGCGTGCGAAAGCGGCGGCGACGAGGAGGACGACCCGATTTTAGCTCGGCGTGAGGCGGATCGCCCGCCGGACGGGGCGCGGAGCGCACCTGACGACGATCCGATACAATCAGACGCAGATGGCGGCGGGGAAGCGGCGAACGTTGTGGATGGCGGGCGTAAGCAGCGCCCACCGCCCGAGTCTGTGGGGGAACATGGAGGGCCGAGCGGTCCCGAGCCGACGAGATACGGGGACTGGGAGAAGGGTGGCAGATGCATCGACTTCTAGACACCAGGCTGGGCTGGCCTCTGGGAGATTTCCAATCTGACCTTTGGCCTGTTTCCATGTTTCCTTCACGCTTTAGAAGCTTTTGCTTGCATGCATGGCCACAAGGTGTGGACATAACAACCCAAGCCTAAGGGAGCAACAGCTGAAATTGGCTAGAACCCGTCTTGGGAAACCCTTAGATAATAGGGAAGGTAGGGAAGCTTGCTAGGAGCACATTGTGGAAGTTCGGTGAATACGCTCAAGTCAAACTTTGCATTGCATGATTATGCATTATGACCAATCAACCATCCATGACCGGACCAATCAATGATGCATCTGCATCTCCCCCTAATCCTATATCCTCTTGTATTTCACCTCCCCTATCTCATGCCCTGTCTCTTGTATCTCTTGCCTCCCGCCTGCTGTCTCCTGTTTGCCCCATGTTTGGCTGTCTCATGTTTCACCCAACCTCGTCTTCGGTCACCTCCTTTTATCCCCTGATACGGTACCACACAAGAATTCCAGGAATCTTGCTTGACTATTTTGAGAGACCTCTATAATAATCATTTATATCGACTAAAGCATTGTGATGATCCTTGAAGCATGATGTTGTAGTGTCCAAAAATCTCTAGGAATGCTTCTAGAACATTCAAGAAACTGTAAGCAGAATTGTGTAACTAGAACACCTATACACCAACTATTTCTCTTTGTCTCTTGACCACTATCGTGCCATTCCCTCGATTCTTCACTCAGCTTACTTAGTACGCGTCAGGAAGTTATAAAGGCTGGCGGCGACGCGGCTGCATGTAGGTCATCCACATGCAGGCCTGCTAATTATTCCCTGATGTATCCATCGTAATTCGGCCGAAGAATTATTACCGACCATTCTGATCGTCCGTTTGCTGTGATTTCTGTCGACGCGAGGGGAACATGCAGCTAGAGTCGGCATCCCAGATAATGGGTCTCAGCCAGCAACAGTGACGCTATATTGAGTTAAAGTGATCCGTGCATCGCCTCACGCCGTCTCAATCCGCTCCTTGAAAACATTTCTGTGCTTTTAGTGAAGTCTCCAGGAGGGATGGAGTTGCTACAGAGGTTCCTGGTACGCCTTTTCCTTTCGCGACCATAGTAGTCAAAATAGTTCCTTGCTATGCTTTTGTTCCTTATCATTTCCACCGCTCAGCGACCGTCTGTTCTCATCCATGAGTTAAATACTCCTCGTTATTGCATAGCTACACCATTGGTGCCACAATGGGGTCATATTGTTGTCTCTTTGTGGCACGAACGAGGTTCAGTGACCTCAGATACCTGAGCATTTCAGCTTAACGTTCCAGCCAACAAATGCCTTATGACCTGATCAGGCATCACCAGAAATGCCGTTTTTCACCAGCCATCCTTCCGATGTTTCCCTGATCATCCGCCACGTGGCAGGGACGTGAGCGGCACCTGGACCACCTTTTGATGCACGGTCGCTTTGCGGAAGCTGCAGCGCTGTGCCCCTCAGCCCTTGGGAACTCCGAAACCGCATGGCAATGGTGAGACACGGCAGGGTAGGTGATGTTGGGAGGTTCCTCGGCAGTGACCAGTGCGAGGTAGCGTTAAAAATATGAATGGAAATCGCGGTTTCATATGCCTGGTTCTGGTTTTCTAGTCCGGTTACTGTACCGTAGATGGTACTGTACTCGTGCATGCTGCTGGCAATTGTTTTATGTCCTTCCGTACCCTCATCTGGCGATTGTGATTCTTTGTTCCATCCCTTCCATACCGTCAGGTGGATTGGGAACTTCTCTCGCTTGCAGCAGCTGCATACTCTGCTGCCCTACGTCCCTGTTTCCAACCCGAAGCTCAGTCCAGCCACTTATGAGGTAGATACTTCTTCCTCCTGCGCTCTCCTACAGATTAATTCGCTCTCGCATGGTGGCCATGCCCAAATATAATTATTCAAGACGGTATGGTTCAATACCAAATGATCTTATTCAACGCCTTGCTGATGTGTCAGTGTGTCTTTTGATTAGCTCGAAAGCTCAGGACCAACCAACACACCCCCCACTCCCCCCTCCCTTCCTTCCTCCTTGCAGGGCGTGCTAGTGGAGCTGCTCGTCTCTCCGCACTCCTCCTACCACCGCCAGCTGTCCCCCACATTAGCCCACTCTTTGAACCTTTTTCCCTTCTTCAAACTCCCTCCCTCCCTCGAAATCCCTCTCCCATCCCCCAGTCCGTGCTAGTGGAGCTGCTCGTCTCCCCGCACTCCTCCTACCACTGCCAGTTGCCCCCCACATTAGCCTGCTGGCCGCCTGCTCTCTACAACCTGGGCGCCGTCATTGCTGCCGCAGAGAAGCGCCTGTTACAGCACGGCAGTGCCATACAGCTGCAGGTAGGCGGGTGTGCACACTCACGTTTTGAACCATCAATCATGGCTCCTGTACGTGCGGCACCATAAAGAATGTGTCGGATTCCCCTTTCTCCTCATGCTCCTCCCCCCCTATCACAGCTCCTAGCGGGCCTGTATGTGCGCAACAGGGACTTCATGGAGGCTCTGGACGTCTACCTGCGGATTCTGGTGGCACAGCACAGAGCACACCACACTGACTCGGCCTCAACCGCTACCACTGAGCTAGCGAACTCCCATGAACGCACAGCCAACCATGCTCAGGCGCCTGCTTCTGCTGACGTGGATGGGGACTTTAAAGGGCGTGTAACAAGCCATGCTGATGTGGGTGGAGAATCTCCTGTCGATTCACCAGCAAATGGCAAGATATCAGACAAAATGGCAGCAGCCGGGAAGACAGCTCTCAAAGAGGACACTAACCAAAGGCCTGCCAGGGCATGCTCGGAAGATCAACTCCGATACCCAGTGCAAGAATCCGGTGTCTCATCACCAAAAGAGTCAACTGCAAAATGGCCGGGACCCGATGTGTTTGAGTTTATTCGCGAGCACAGGCTTGTTCGCCATCTCCTCTCTCCCACCGCCGTCCACCATCACCGCCTCCCCTCCCTCTTCCTCATCCACCCGCGCCGTGCCGCCGCCCTCATCGCCGACCACATCGCTGTTGCGCCGCCCGAAATGGTTGTCCGCCAGCTGTTGGGCGTTGATTCGCCGGCCATGCTTGGGCCCCCCCAGCCTGCCGCTGCGCGCCAGCTGTCGCCGCGTGGTTCGGCGGCGCTGGTGGATGGAGCAGTAAACGGGGCTGGTGATGGGGAAGGGAGTGAAGTGGTGCTGACGGGGAGAGAGAGGCGGATGGCGCTGCACTTACAGCTACCTGCATGAGGTGTTTGGGCGAATGCCAGAGGTGGCATCAGCGTTTCATCCCATGCAGGTCAGTCATGGGGCAACTGTGTACTTAAAGGCTCGTCCTCACTAGGTTTCACTGCTGCCGGCGTGAGGCATGAGGTGTTTGAGTGGATGCTGGAGGCTGCCTTTCACTCAAAAAGCTGTTGTACTTTCAACTATCATCACACCACTTGTAAAACCTGTGTCCGCTGCTGAGTTGCTCTCTCTTTGCACTCTTTCCAACTGCTTGCAGGTTGAGTTGTATGCAGACTTCGACCGCCGCCTGCTGCTGCCCTTCCTGCAGTCGTCCGACCACTACCCCTTGCAAGACGTGAGTGGTGCCATTGCATGTTATCCGCTTCAGTGAGTGATTGGCACAAGATTTGTTCAATACAAGGCATGAGAACTTTCTCAACACCAAGACACATGTGGCACAGAGCACTATCCTTTGCACGACAGGTGTTTTGCCTCAATCTGACCTCGGAACTGCTTGTTTGCTACCTTTCCCCTAGCCACTCTCTTCCAGTCGAGGCGATGAATGGGCCTTGTGGCTGCTTACTCATTCCCATGTCAGCAAACCCCAAACTTCCTGGTATCTGTTCCTTCCTCCAGGCTCTAAACCTGTGTGTGCAAAGGGGTCTGGTGGAGGAGCAAGTGTTTCTGCTTACCCGCATGGGTGATTACAAAGAAGCGCTATCTCTCCTGCTGGACCGACTCAAAGACGTGAACCGAGTGAGTTTCTCTTGCCTCCCTCTTTCGCTTGTATTGCTGCTCGCTAGCATACTTGTTTCTGCTCACCCGCATGGGTGATTACAAAGAAGTGCTATCTCTCCTGTTAGACCGACTCAAGGATGTGAACCGGGTGAGTTGCTCCTGCCTCTCTCCCCACATTTGCTTGCCTCCCCCCCCCTCACCAGCACACTTGCCTCTGCACACTTGCATGGGTTGTTGTAATGAATCCCTATCGCACCTGCTAGGCTGACTGAAGCTTCTTCGAATATGTTGCCACTGGCACTCTCTCTTTCACAGCTTCTCCCCGTTCTTCCTGAATCATCTCCTCACCTTGCGTCCACCAGGCAGTAATACTGGCCAGGGAGGTGAAAGAACAGTACGTGTGGAATTTCCTCCTGAAACGATCTGCCACAAACCCGCACTTGGTATGCCCACACGTCCCAGAACCTGTCCAAACTTCGCAAAACCCCCGTTTTCTATCAACGTCATTGGTGCCACCATCAGTTGTCCCACATAAAATCCCTCCCTCTACTTCACCTATTCCTGCTTCTTGCTCCAAGCAGCCCTGGTCCAATCATTCATCCTTGTCACCTCTTCAAGCACATTTGATGCAATCTCTAATCCGTGCTGATCTCCTCTCCCAGGTGGCAGCACTCATGGAGCAAGCCACAGACATCTTCTCTCCCAAGCAGCTGCTTGCTGGAGTCTCGCCCAACACTCACCTAAAAGAGTACGTCTGGCACTCATTAAAGTTTTTAAAAGACAGGTTAGATAAAGCTCCTTCAGGCAGTACTGGCAGCCTCAATAACAGAAGCATCCCTATGGACCAACAGAGCAACAGCCCAGATTGCATGGCCATCAAGCATTCCAAGTGTGTGTGTCAATTACCTCTTCCTATTCGTCCTCTTCTCCTCTTCCCCTCCCTCCTGTGCGCTTGGCAGGTTGCGGCAGCATCTGCTGGCAGTGCTGGCAGCGTCAGCAACAGAGGTGTCTCTCCGCCAGGGCTGCATTGCCCTCTTGCGATCCAATCCCAACTGCATCGACCTCTGCCTCTTCATCCCCTTCTCCTCTTTTCCTTCTTCTCCTCTTCGCCTCCCTCCTGTGCACTTTGTTCGCAGGTTGCGGCAGCATCTGCTGGTAGTGCTGGCAGCGTCAGCAACAGAGGTGTCTCTCCGCCAGGGTTGCATTGCCCTCTTGAAATCCGAGTGCATCGACCTCCTCTGCCTCTTCATCCTCCAATCGCAGTTTGCCGCCCGCTTCTCCTCCTCCGCTGCACCGATCCACCTTCCTCTTCTCCCCGTGCCATCTTCCACTGCAACAGCAACCAGCACACTGCTCCCTTCCTCTCAAGCCGCATCTACATATACTTCTTCTCAGTCCACCTCTGGGTTCTTAACCCCCTGTGGAGCTGCTGGGACGTCACTACTCAGTCTGTACTCCCGCAAGCCGTTTCGAAGGAAGGCATTTATGGGTAGATTTTCTGGCACAAGTATCGTAGGTGATGGGAGTGATTTGGTGGGGAGGGTGAGGCAGGAGGAGGGGCAGCAGGGGAGTGGGGAGAGGGAGGAGAGCGAGAGGAGGAGGAAGGAGAAAGAGGAGGCGAGAGCTGTGGCTTTGGCGTTTCGACAGCTGGAGATGGGGGAAGCAGGTGATCATGCAGGGATGGATGCGAGAGGGGGGGTGGATGGGAGAGGTTTGAGATTGAATGGATTGCAAGGAGCTGCTGTTTTTGACAGTTTTCTTCCATCCATATCTCAAGCCGAGGAAGAGGATGAGGATGAGGATGAGGAGGGAGAGAGTGATGGGGAGGAAGAGGAGGATGAGGTTCTGTGGAATGAGCAGTGGTCATCTGCCCCACTCTTCCCTGCATCTGGAGGGCTGAAAATATCAACAATTGTGGTTGAGACTGGTGAAGGTTACAGGGGTGACAGCAGAAGTGTTGGTAACCAGGTTGATGAGGGGAAAGGGGGGTTGGGGGAGAGAGGGAGAGGAGGGCTGATTAGAGCCTGGAGTGAGGTATTTGAAGGGGAGAGGGGGGGGATTGTGGAGGTGAAGGAGGGGTTGAGACGGGCAGGAAGTGAAATGCCACGAGGGAAAGATGAAAGCATGGGTGAGTTTGATGTGCGGCGAGGGGGAGTAGGGATGTTGGAGGGAAAGCAAGGGGTGCAGGGTAAGAACAAGTTGAAGCGGAGGGAGGTTGAGCAGGAGTTGCTGGGTGGGGGTCCTCCCCGGTGCTGCCTGTGTCTCGATGCACTGCATATGCACCAGCAGGAGATTGCTTGTTTTTTCTGCACGCATGCGTATCATGTGCCATGTTTGGAGGTGGCGTTGAAGCTGGGAGGAAGGGGGAGTGATGGTGAAACGGGAGGGGCTAAGATGGAAGGAAAAAATGTGCAACTGACTGAGATGCCAGAAAACAGAACTGAGAAGGCCAGAACGTCAAATACAGGTGCGGCAGCAGAACTGAAGAGTAGCTTGGATCGAAGGGAGAAGGTAAAGGTTTGGCCTGAAAGAGAGGGAACAGCGATAGAACAGGGGGACAATGACGAGCAATTGCATTGTGTAGTTTGTCAGAAAGCTAAGAATGTGGCAATGTCTTGATGCTTTAGTAAGTACTAGAAGGTGGGGAAAGTGATTTGTTGATTTATTATGCTTTGAGTTGTGATCTCGCTACCTGCAATCTTTGCCATGAGGTCCAGTTGTTACGTTGGTGGATCCACAGTTCGGCTTACAATTGGTCCGCTCACGTCACTTTCATCAAAGACTGTCGCAAATGGCCAACCGAAAGTTAATTTGTGTAACTTTTCTCTAACCTCCCTTCGCCAAGCCTTTGGTATGTGTACCGCCTCGCTGCTGGCGTGGCGGTTTCGCACTATTGCTGAGCGAAGAGTTCAGCCGTTCACCTGAAACCTTTCCGTTGGAGGCTGTGCCTCGTTTGGGTTGCTCTCGTTTGATAGTCACCGTTTCGAACCGAGGAATGTATTTGTCCACCAAATTTCTGAACTTCACAGCAGCAAGCAACCACTCCCCACCAGCAAGCTTTCTTTCTTGGTTTCAGTTCTGACCTAGATTTCATCCTGATCCAAGCTACTTGCTCGCTGGCTGTTGCTGCAACACGAATTGCTGGTGCTCGAGGAACTTATTGGACAGTTTCTGCTCGCAATGCCGTTTGGTGAAATGTATGTAGGCCTCTAGAGGCTACGAGCTTGTCATCGTGTCGAAATTCAGGTTCAAGCTCAGAAGGAAGCTTTGGCTACTGTGGTGTAGGCTCCGGCGTTTGTTAAGCGTAGCCATGTTTCCAGACACACCGATGGACCTTTTTAGGTCCGAGGAGATGCAGTTAGTGCAGCTAATCATTCCTGCTGAAGCTGCACATAACACCGTCGCTCACCTTGGGGAGCTCGGTCTACTGCAGTTTAAGGATGTAGGTATCTGCATAACTATTGGATCGAAACTGTTGCTCGATGGATGGGGTTCCTTTTCCAATATTCATGGAATTCGACTGTAATCCTCTCCGAAATTGCCACTATGCAGTTAAATCCGGACAAAAGCCCATTTCAGCGAACCTATGCAAATCAGGTGAAGTTATCTAAACACTTTATACTTGAAGTAACTCCCGTCATGATTCTTGTGAAACCCTGCTGGACCGCGGGTTACGCTTCACGTTGTGAACCACGTAGTACCGTTATTGGCTCTTGATGTGTCAATGACGGCGTACAGGTTAAACGATGCGGGGAAATGGCACGAAAGCTTCGTTATTTCAAGGATCAGTCCGTGAAGGCTGGAATTCTACCAAGTAGCCCAGCACCATTGGACAAGGATTTTGACCTAGACGACCTCGAGGTACTGTCTACTTACCTGCATATGGTTGTATGACTCCGCAATGAAGACATGTCGATGGACGATTAATTTGACAATGGCTTAGATCGCGGAATTGGTGCTTAATTCCCCCGCTAACCTCATTTTTACGATGGCCTTCTGCAGGTCAAATTGGCGGAGCTGGAGGCGGAATTACTGGAGATAAATGCTAACGCTGAAAAGCTTCTACGAAGCCGGAATGAGCTGAATGAATTGCAGCTCGTCCTTGTAAAGGTAGATAGTTGGTTGCACCTGGAACTGATAACTCCGTTCCCTGTGTGTCTTTTTGCACTGAAGTTAAGTTTGTTAAGCCTTTTCATGCTAACCGTGTTCATTGTTTGGAACAGATGGATGCTGCTGTCCACCAGAGGGAGTTTGAAGAAGCAAGCTCAGGCAGGGAAATAACGTCTGACACTGCACTGTTATTGGAGCAGGTGGTACATGATACTGGTCACACGAATCCGCTTGAGCAGACTCCTCCACAGGTAGCCGATTGCATTCTCGCAGAAGCTCTGATTGCATATGCTTGACTCTGGTTTGCTCTGCAGGAAATGGTCTCAGAACCTGGCAAGCAGATGCGCCTTGGATTCGTTACAGGGCTTGTCCCTAAGGTCAAGGCTGCAACATTTGAAAGGATTTTGTTTCGAGCAACTCGTGGAAACATGTACCTTAAGCAGGAGGAGCTTGACGAGCCAGTAGTGGATCCTGCAACAGGAGAAGAAGTAAGCGTTTTTTTTTCATATGCTGAGGGCTGTCTTTCAGGTGCTACTGGCGTTAACATGTGGCTTCTGTTTGCAGGTGGAGAAGGTGGTGTTCGTTGTGTTCTTTGCTGGTGAGCGAGCTCGGACCAAGATCATGAAAATCTGTGAGGCATTTGGTGCAAATCGTTACCCGTTTCCAGAGGACCCACAGAAACAGAGGCAAATGCATTCTGAGGTGAGCTCAGGAAAACTCTAAACGAGCTTCTGTCCGCCAGTTTTTCCTTCTTCATCCACTCGTGGTCCCAATCTCACCGTAGTCATAGTCTGAATAGCATTTTTGAATGGCAGGTGATTGCACGGTTATCAGAGTTGCAGACCACCATTGATGCAGGCAACAGGCACAGAGATAGTTTGCTGAACAACATAAGCTACCAGATCGAAAACTGGGCAAGCCTGGTATGGAATCATAGCAGTGCTCCCTGTTTTTTCCCATCACTAACTCTGCATCAATAATCATGTTTCCTCCCCTTTTTTTAGCTGACCCGAAGCATTGATAATGGATGAGCAGGTTCGAAGGGAGAAGGCTATCTACCACATATTGAACCAGCTGTCCATCGATGTCACTCGCAAGTGCCTTTTGGCTGAGGCATGGTGCCCCGTGTATGCGAAGTCAGAGGTATGGCTGATGATGAGCATGGCTAGATGGCTGATCATGATTTTGGAAATGAGAGCAGTGAGGAGAACCAGATGGGATTTTTATGAAAAATGTTAATATGAATACTGGCTTGGATTGCAGATTCAAGATGCTCTTCATCGTGCAGTGACCATGAGCAAGGCAGATGTGGGTACTATCTTTCAGACGATTCGGTCTGGCGAGTCCCCTCCGACATACTTTAAGACCAACAAGTTCACTGGTGCTTTTCAAGGGATCATCGATGCTTATGGGTAAGTATTTTTACTTTTCAAACGAGATACTCTGATTTGTGAGAATCACTGTCAGGAGCACTGCTTATTCTTCTTGCTTCATCCACTTTTCCTGTTGTGGCAGCATGGCACGGTACCGGGAGGCCAACCCTGGGGTTTTCACCATCATCACCTTTCCGTTCCTCTTTGCGATCATGTTTGGTGACTGGGGTCATGGCATCCTGATGCTCCTTGCATCCCTTTGGCTTGTCAAGAACGAGAGGAAGTTGGGCTCCCAGGTGATTATCGGAATTTTTTTAACATGTTCGTCCAAACTGTTCAGACAAAGACATGTGCTGTTAACAAAATTCTTTACCTGCTTACCTGTTAAACATGATGCAGAAACTTGGTGACATTATGGAGATGGTTTATGGAGGCCGCTACCTCATCCTCCTTATGTCTATTTTCTCCATCTACACTGGCTTCGTTTATAACGAGTTCTTCGCTGTCGCCTTTGATTTTGCCATATTTGGTGGCTCGGCATACACTTGCCGCACCCCAGACTGCGGGTACAGTCACCCCTTATCCTTTTTTAACATTTTTTGCCCGCAATTTGAATATCTTTATCTTGTCAGATGCCATTGCACGCTGCAATTCCTATTCATGTTGGCTCGCTTACCCTCACTCCTCTTCGGCTTTGTTTGTGGGCCCCACAATTCTTGTCCACTCTCCTTCGTTCTCTTACCTTCGTTTCCCTATCCCTCCTTTCTGTTTCAACTCTCTCAGTGATGCAGCCTCTGCTGGTTTGGTGAAGACAGGCAACACATACCTTTTTGGAGTGGACCCTCGGTGGAAGGGCTCTCGCACAGAGCTGCCCTTCTTGAACTCACTCAAGATGAAGATGAGCATTGTGCTGGGAGTCACTCACATGTTTCTGGGCCTTGCTCTCAGCCTCTGCAACGCCCTCTTCTTTGACCTGCCACTCAACATTTGGTGGGTACTTCACACACTTTCTGATTTCATTGTGTTTCGAATGAGTCTTTACCTGCTTCTGTGCATCACGTCCCTTGGTGTGCCTTTATCCCTGTGCCTTCACTCTCATCCATCTTCATGCATCTGTATCTCCTCACCACTTGTAGGTACGAGTTCATCCCACAGGTCCTATTCTTGGCTTCTTTGTTCGGCTATCTCTCGCTGCTCATCATAGTCAAGTGGATCACAGCCTCCCAAGCTGATCTCTATCATGTCATGATCTACATGTTTCTCAACCCCACTGAGCCACTGGGAGAGAACGAGCTGTTTTGGGGGCAAGGAACACTCCAGGTCAGTTCACCTATTTTCATGTGTAGTCACATCACTTCTATTGGCATAGCAAGCTTGATATTGTACCTTCTGTTAATGTGTACTAATTATTGTGCCTCCTGCTCAAATCTTTCCTGCTCCGCAGATTGTCTTGCTACTTATTGCACTGATTTCTGTTCCGTGGATGCTCTTTCCCAAGCCTCTAATTCTACGGGCTGAACACATGAAGGTGAGTCTGTTGCTGAAGCTGCTATTCATTCATCCCACCCGAAACTTGCAACAAGCATGTGTAAGAGCTACTGCCTTGTCTGCTGCTCTTGTCACTTTGGTCTGACAAAGCAGGTCAGTGCCTTGACGTTGCTGTCCTGACTTCCTTTTATTCACTCTCCCCCCTCCCCCCCCCTCCCACTTCACATGATACGTACCATGCATCTGTTCCCTGCATACAGAAGCGTCAGGGGCGAGCATACACAGCGCTGAACTCAGACAATGAACTGTATGAGATGGAGGCGTTGCATCCAGGGGAGGAGGGGCAATTGCACCATCATCAACATGAGGAGGAGTTTGAGTTTGGGGAGGTGATGGTGCATCAGATGATTCACACCATCGAGTTTGTGCTGGGCGCCGTCTCTAACACGGCCTCCTACCTGCGTCTCTGGGCTCTCAGGTGCGCTTTCACAATACACCCTTTGAGTTGAGCATGCTTTTTTTAGTCGTCTCAAATGTTTGCATTATGTTGGACGTTGAGGCACCTGTCACGTACCTGATTCTCTTTTCAATTTCTGGTGTTTCTCTGTCACCTTCCCCCATGGAAACAGCTTGGCACATGCAGAACTTTCGGCTGTCTTCTTTGAGCGAGTTCTGCTTCCAGCATTCGAGTAAGTTCACCATTTGTCTCTGTCCACTTGTCCGAACCTCCACTGCACCTTCCTTCTCTTTCTGCTAGTTTGTTTGGCAAAATTCCTCAGTCTCAACTTGATGTTTCTTATCCTTGCAGGTCTGGAAACATCATCTTCATTATAATTGGATTCTTTGTCTTTGCATCAGCAACCGTTGGTGTGCTTCTACTCATGGAGACTCTCAGTGCGTTCCTCCATGCACTCCGTCTGCACTGGGTTGAGTTCATGAACAAGTTCTACACTGGAGATGGATACAAGTTCCTACCATTCTCGTTCGATACAATCACTGACGATGAAGACTAGAGGAGACATCTGCACTGCAGCATTGCTGTAGTTGCTGTTTCATGACATGCCACAAGTTAACCTGTTGCATGCTAGCATTTATCTGATGTAGTTATGCATTAGAGACCTGTAAGACTTTGATTTCAACTGCAGATACTGCCGAAGGCCATCATTGCGTTCTGCTCTGCACTCTGCATCTGCAGTTGCTACCATCGTCGCCCGTATTTAAGACGTATATGTCTTGGGTTGTCTTGTGGTTGGGGTGGTTTAGGGTGTCTTATAATTCTTATAGATGGACAAAGAACCGTTTGGAAGATACCCCCTTGTCATAAGGTTACCCTTGAACCCTACTTGGGTACTCTTTAGAAGTCCCTACACACCTGCAGGTGTCTTATAATAAGGAACACCCATTCATAGGAGATACCCCGTTTTAAAGACACCCCGTCTTCTATTCGACAGTGTCTTATATTCGGGTGATGACGGTATTGGGATGTTTGGTTGACTGTCAAATGTTGTAGCCTATAGTGAGGATTGTCTTAGGGGGTACAAAAGTTAGGGTTAGCTATATGTACCCCAACCAACATCAATGCATCATCCATTCCTCATTCGAACATGGTATCAGTTAGGTTAGGATCCTGTGGGATCCCGTTCCTCCGTTCTTCGTTCGTACCTCCCGAGCCTGATCCTTGCTCTCTGTCAAATGTTGTAGCCTATAGTGAGGTTTGTCTTAGGGGGTACAAAACTTAGGGTTAGCTATATGTACCCCAACCAACATCAATGCATCATCCATTCCTCATTCTGACATGGTATCAGTTAGGTTAGGATCCTGTGGGATCCCGTTCCTCCGTTCTCCGTTCGTATCTCCCGAGCCTGATCCTACCTCTCGTTCGTACCGGTTCCGTTGTTACCGCGCCTAGTGCCGAGCCTAGCGCCCTTCCCCCCGTCGCCTAGCGCCCTTTCCCCCCCGTCACGTCGCGCCCTTTTCCCCCGTTGCGTCGCGCCCGTTCCCCCCCGTCGAGTCGCGCCCTTTCCCCCCGTCGCGTCGCGCTCTTTCCCCCCGTCGCGTCGCGCCCTTTCCCACCGTCGCGTCGCGCCCTTTCCCCCCGTCACGTCGCCCTGCCCCGTCCCGTTGCCCCTGCCCCGTCCCGTCGCCCTGCCCCGTCCCGTCCCGTCGCCCCGTCCCGTCCCGTCGCCCCTGCCCCGTCCCGTCCCCGTCCCGTCCCGTCGCCCCTGCCCCGTCCCGTCCCCGTCCCGTCCCGTCCCGCGGCCCTGCCCCGTCCCGTCCCGTCGCCCCGTCCCGTCCCGTCGCCCCTGCCCCGTCCCGTCCCGTCGCCCTGCCCCGTCCCGTCGCCCCGTCCCGTCTCCCTACCCCGTCGCGTCGCCCTCCCCCGTCGCGTCGCCCTGCCCCGTCGCATCGTGCCCGCCCTTTCCCCCGTCCCGTCGACCCTACGCCCTGGCCCGTCGCTCTAGCCCGCTCTTCCGCTGCGACTAAGTCCCACCTGAACCCTAATTTGCCTCTTACCTCCTGCTGTTACTCGCCTGCTCGTTCGCGTTAGTTTTCGCTATGGCGACTCCGCGAGTTCTTCGTTTCGACGCTGACGGCAGACCTCTTGACTTTTCCGTCTGGCTCCTTCGCGCTCGCCGTCTGTTAGAGAGTCAAGTCCAGGGGGGCGAGACCCTCTGGTCGCACGCTACTGGTGACCTCCCCGAGCCCCCCGAGCCTGCCGCTTTAGGTCCTGCCCCTGACGATGCTGCTACGGCTCGCTTTGCCCGTCAGCGCGCTGACAGGACGGCTTGGACGTCGCGTGACGCTGCGGCCTGCATCGCACTCAGCAGCCTCCTCCCTGAGTCAGAGGAGGTCCACTTCACTCAGGTTCGCACCGCTGCTGCGTACCTCACTGCGATTAAGGCCCGCTACTCTACTCCCGCTACTGTCTCTCTTGGCCGTCTTTTCCTCCCGTTCCTGTTTCCTGATCTCGCCTCGTTTGAGCGCTCTACTGACTTGATCGCTCACCTCCGCTCGCTCGACGCTAGTTACCGCGCTGCTTGCACTGAGGCACAGCTTGCACTGCTTCCTCCCCCCATGGCGATTACTATCTATTTCATCGCCACTAGCCTCCCTGACCGCCTTGCCTCCGTACGTGACGCGCTCCTGCTGAAGCACCCTAGTGAGCTGACAGTTGAGGTCCTTGAGTCTGCGCTCAAGGACGTCGAGAGCAACCTTCGCTCGGTAGCTGCCGCCTCTGGTGCTGTGCCCCCCCCACTCTTCCACGGGTGCACAGTCCCGCAGTTACCCACCTTCACTGCCTCTCTTGCCACTGCCGCTACTGACGCGACTGCAGCTGCTGTTACGACTGCGTCGCGGTCCCGCGGCAAGGGGGGCAAGAAAGGTGGTTCTGGTGGAGGTGGAGGCGGAGGTAGCGGAGGTAGTGGGGGTGCTGTTGCGACTGGCGGTGGTGGGAGTGCAGCGTCTGGAGAGACCTCTCGTGCAGCGGCTGGTGACTCCACTGCGCCTGCTGGTGGTGGCGACACCCGAGCTCGTCAGTCGTCTCCTGTACTGCCGGCCCCGCTAGGTGGAGCAGCGGCGTGGTACCAGGCTCAGCGTCAGCAGCAGCAGCAGCCCCTCTCCTCCCAGCAGCCTCAGCAGCAGCAGCGTCAGCAGCTGGCTCCGGGGTCGGGGCTGCGTCAGCCCCAGCGTGGTGCTGCTTACCCTCCCTGCACCTATCAGGTTCTGACAGGTCCTCGTCGGGGCCACCCTTGTGGCCGCTTTCACCCCCCTGGTCAGTGCTTTGCTCAGCTCACTGACACGGTCCGGTTGGCCTACGGGGTTGGCGGTCCTGCCCTTGACTGGCTTCCTCTGGTTCAGCGCTACGGCTCCGCTCTGTGGGGCATGTCTGCTGAGCAGTTAGTTGATCTGATTGGTGCTCCTCATGCTATGTATGCTATTGTTGACTCTAGTGTTTCTGACTCTGCTTACTCTGGTGTTGTTAGCTTAGGTGCTAGCCTTGCTCAGTTGCCTGTTGCTAGTGTAGGTTCTTGTGTAGACTCTAGTCCAGCGGCTACCTCAGAGGACGGTTCGCTGTCGTTCACGCTGGACTCTGGAGCCTCTCACTGCTTCTTTCGTGACAGCACGACACTTACGCCTCTTCCTGCGCCTGTTTCTGTGGCGCTGGCTGATCCCACTTCGGGACCAGTCACCGCGCGTCACACTACCACCTTGCCGTGTCCGGCTGCTCCTTCTGGGTCTCTCACTGGGTTTCACGTCCCCTCGTTCTCGAGGAACTTGGTGGGCGTGCGACCCCTTGTGAGTCAGCACGTGGGTGTGTGGTTTGAGCCTTCTGGAGAGACTGCGGTGTGTGTTGACGGGGACTCTTACCAGCCTCTCGCCACTTTTGCTGCTGAGCCGGGCTCCGGTCTCTACACTCTTCACACTGGCCCGCGCGCTCAGCAGCGACTGCAGCAGCAGCAGCAGCAGCCTCAGCAGCGGCAGCAGCAGCAGCCGCAGCCACAGCGGCCGCCGTCGCAGCAGCCACTCCTCCCAGTTCCTGTCCCTCCCCCTAGTCTCCTCCCTGCGTCTCACCAGGTGGTTCCGTCCCCTCAGGTTGTCGCGTCCAGTCCAGTCGCTGCGTCTTGCTCCTGTCGGTCGCTTGCCCACCCCACCGTTCTGTGGCACCACCGGATGGGACACCCTTCTCTTCCACGTCTGCGTGCTATGTCTAGTCAGCGTCTGGTCTTAGGTCTCCCGCGTGTCTTGCCGTCGCTGCCGCCGTCCCTTGCACCACCGTGCGGTCCTTGCGTCGAGGGTAGGCTGCGTGCCACCCCTCACTCCTCCTCCCTTCGTCCGGCCACCGAGCCTTTTGAGACGCTGCACTTGGACGTCTGGGGCCCCTCTCCTTGCCCTGGCCCTGAGCGTGAGCGTTTCTTTTTGGTGGTCGTTGACGACTACTCCCGCTATACCACAGTGTTCCCCCTGGCGAGGAAGTCTGAGGTGACTTCTACGCTGATCAGGTGGTTGCTTACCACCCAGGACACTCGTGGTCGTCGTGTCAGCTGTCTCCACTCCGACCGCGGGGGCGAGTTTCGCTCCGGCATTCTCGCTGGATTCTGTCGCGAACAGGGCATTCGTCAGTCCTGGACGCTTCCGGAGTCCCCACAGCAGAATGGGGTTGCTGAGCGTCGCATAGGCCTGGTCATGGAGATTGCCCGCACCTCCTTGACTCACGCCCGTGCCCCCCATTTCCTGTGGCCATACGCAGTCAGGTACGCCGCGCACCAGCTGAACCTCTGGCCACGCGTCTCTCGGCCGGAGGCTTCACCGACCAGTCTTTGGACAGGGTCCCCTGGTGTCGCGTCGAGGTTTCGTGTCTGGGGGTGCTTGGCTCTTGTCCGCGACACCTCCGCGGACAAGCTCTCGCCTCGCGCCGTTCCTTGTGTCTTCCTTGGTTTCCCTGAGGACTCCTCTGACTTCACCTTTTACCACCCTCCCTCTCACCGGTTCTTTGACTCCCGTGACGTCCGTTTCGAGGAGTCCACCCCGTACTACGTCAGGTACCCCAGTCGAGGTCTCCTGGTTCCTCCTCCCCCCCTCTTCCTGACAGCCGCTCCCCCGCCTGCTCCCCCGGTACAGCCTCCCCCCCCTGGTCCAGCCCCGTCTGGTGTGTCTCCCCCTTCGGTAGCCCCCCCTGTACAGCCTCCCTCCCCACAGTCTTCCTCGCCGCCTCCTGCAGGTGCTCCCTCTCGGGAGGTTGGTCCTGCGACTGTCCCTGTACAGGTCTCTGGTTCTGGGGGTGCTGGAGTTGGAGCTGAGCCGCGGGTTGCAGAGGACTCTTGTCTTCCGGGGGCTGGTACTGGTCGTGCGGAGTCTGGGGGTGCTGGTGCGGAGTCTGGGGGTGCTGCGTCTGGGGGTGAGGGTGTCCCTTCGGTTTCTGGAGAGCCTGGGTCTGGAGCTGGTGTTGGTGCTGCCTCTGGGGGTGGTGTGCTTGGTGCTTCGGAGGTCGACTCTGGGGCTGCCGCTGCCCCGG